TGAAAACTTGCGCTTGCATTATATTCAGTGTGTGATCGTGGCTCTGTACTTGTGTTTGAAATGCAGGAACCAGTTAAAATAATCATCGGTTCAGATAATGACAGTAAAGGGTGCACTTCCCGGGGGATTCTGAACATGGAACCAGGTAGAGTTCATTCCTTTTTGTGCATGCTTTTCTTATGTCGATTCTGGTTTCCTGCCTCAGTAGGAGAGGAAGACCCTGACTGGTAATCATTCATAACAGAGAGATAGTCATCAGCGATTACGATTTACCACATACTAGTTTCTATTGCGGCATGCATTTTTATTGCCAAAGAACCAAGAAATCCTCATTTGCAGCACAAAAATGATTCAAATGAAAAGAAGTAAACCACACCCTCTGTTATGTATATATGCTGCAGCTGACCTGATGAAGGAAGTCGGCAGCGAGTCGGGCCCACGGCTTGTGTGGGGGGTGAGGAAGAGGAGGACGAGCAGCGAGACGCTGCCCATTGATGCCGCCACCTTGCTGCCAGGAGAAGGGGAGAAGAGGAGGCGGGGACCTGGACCAGACGCACAGAAGGACGAGGCTGTTCACGCGGTTGAAGCTGCTCCAGCAAAGCGGGCTCACAGGTTCAACCCCAAGTACGACGCGACCCTGTGGATCACCTGCTGAGGCGGCCCGAGAAGCCACGTCGGCGCCGGGCACACCGACAAAACAATGGTTGTTCGACTTTGGCAACATCATCAATGCACATAGTATTGTTTCACCTTTGACACCCACCACTCAAACACATTACACATAGATGTCCAGGGAGGTAAAGTCCCTTTTTTTCAACCATTTCAACTCTTGTTTACACGAGGTCCACATGAGGAACAGATTGAAGAATTACAAATGTGATATACAAGTAGCACTTGCAGCATGGTAGGCCGTGAGTTTATTCTGTATGCAATCTATGATTCTAAGTTAGTCCACTGGCACTGGCTGCATTGCCTCAGCTTCCTTCCTCAAACCCTCCAATAGAGCTGACGATAGGTACCTCTCTCCCGCGCTCGGATCAACAGTTTGAAACAACATGTGCATTTGTAACTCTTCTGAAACTTCTTCATGTTAACATTTTTTGTGTGTGCATAATTTTCAGAGATGGGTATGTATGACGCACCACGACGAGCTTCCCTTTGTTTTCTGGCCTCCTTGCGAGCTCAATCGCCGCCACTGCGTTGGCTCCTGATGATATCCCCACCTGCAAAAATTCAGACAGGTTCAGCAATAGTTCAATGAGATCGATCTAGTTTCACACGAGTCTGTTTTTCATCTTGGTTCTTCACAAACTTACATTTTCTTTGGCAAGGGAGGGGTAAATTTAATTTTTGCAACTTATCAACAGACCGGATATGTACAGATAGATAGATATCGATATCTCGGCTTTTGATTATGGCCGTCAATAATCAGACCGGCTGGATATTCGATTGGTACTACTTCTGCTGCAGCAGGGTGGAGAAGGAAGAGACGACGGCGGTGGAGGAGGATGAAGAGGAGGCTAGTCTGCCGCGGCTGGCTTCCGCGAGAAGAGACTTGTGGGGAGACTAGAATAGAATCTGCCTTTTAGGTGGAAAAAAAAATCATGTTTAGACAAATCCAGAAAATTCTGACCCAGAATACATCACGTGGTTTCCTGAAGGAAGGTCATATTATTTTCAAAGTATCAAGTCTCACAAACATAATTGAAAATGCATTACATGTACACACGACCATATGATTGGGCGAAACATTATTTCCCTAGCACAACCAACTTACCCACAATGGCTAGCTTGTTGCCCGGCCACAGCCCAACCAAACAATATGCTAACCTTATAGCTACGGACACACCTTATTCGATCAACAGTCCATGCAGAAACTCAAATTCACATCTCGCAACCTATCGGTTGGATCCGCATACATCTCAAATTCCCAATTCTACCCAACAATCTTAGTGGCGGTCAGTAGTACATCCTTGAACAGACTCTCGAGGTTGGCCAACGACCTGCCACCAGGTTGTGTTGTTGCACGAACGGCTATCTCGCTCCACTCCGCCGCCTTCCGCCTCATTTCTTTCCCCACCCCTTCTCCTCCCATCACCTCCCGTATCCTTGCCTCGACCACCTCCCGATGCACATCATCGCCAACTTCCATCCCAATGCCCCACTCCACACACGCGTAACGGGAATTGGTTTCCTGCTCAGCGAAGAAGGGCCAACACAACATTGGCACCCCGGCACTAAGGCCCTCCATCATCGAGTTCCACCCACAGTGTGTCAAGAAGGCGCCCACCGCCTCGTGCCGCAACACCGCCTCCTGCTCGCACCAGCTCGCAAGAAGGCACCTGCCCTTGGTTGGCTCCAGGAACTCAGGAGGTAGGACGGCTGTATCGCCCTTTACCAGGTCATTCCTCACGATCCAGAGGAAGTCGTAGCCGCAGTTGGCAAGCCCCCACGCAAACTCCACCAGCTCCTGCCCGGACATGGTGGTTATGCTTCCATAGTTGACATACACCACGGATCGGGGCTCCCTACCCCGGAGCCATTCGAGGCAGGACCAGTCTTCTCTCCAGAGGCTGGGGCGTATGGCGGCGAGCCTGTCACCAACATCGCCTTCCGAAACCAGCCGCTCAGTGAGGAAGTTAAGTGGGCCGACGGTGTAGACGGGCAGAGGGAGGATGGAACACATGGCGTCCAGAGCCGTCTGCTCAAGCTCGTCAAAGGTGTTGAGGATGACAGCGGCCGCACGGTCCGACTGCTCGACCTCATGCTTGAGGAAGTTGAACATCACGTCGCCAGGGTCCGTCGTGCGGATGAAGGATGAGAAGTCTCGGAGACGCATGTGCTTGCTCATCCCACGTGCGTGTGCCACCGGCGTGTCCAAGTACCCGTTCTTCACTTGCTCTTCGTCTGCTCAGGTCAATGAGAACGCCCAACATCACACACATGGAATGCAACATATATTTAGGACATGGTTGCTACTTGTTACAAACTAGGCATGGCGCCATACATACCTTTGAGAGGGGTGAGGCCCTCGTCTAGGAGGAACTGGAAGTTGCGGTAGCCCATGAAACCGCAGACGCTGGCAGTCCAGAACAACACACACGGCACGCCGAGTTCCACCACGGCATCCATGCTAAAGCTCATGACGCCATCCGCCACGACACATGTCACCTGTGGCACCTCAGCTGCACTGTTGAGGTCGTGGAGTAGGTTCTTTAGGTTGGGGAGGCAGGTGGTCATGATGGAATTGCAGAGGGATGGTATGTCCTGCGTGGCGTCGGCATCGGACCAGGGCAAACCGTCAGGAATGGTGGCGAAGCGGAAGTCCGAAAGGCCTGCCACGGCGTCAGGACCGCGGGAGCGGACCAGACGGCGGTGATTATATTCGGTGTTGACGAAGGTGACGTGGAAGCCCTTGCAGTGAAAGATCTTTGCCAGCTTCATCATCGGCGTGATGTGCCCCTGAGCCGGGAACGGGACGAACACAGCGTGGGGCTTCTTGTTCGTGGTAGCAGCACCCATGTCGGCGTCGCCCGGAATGGTAGAAATGCAGCTCAAGATTTGAAACTGAGTTTTTAGAGGGAAATGTGATCTTCTCTGTGACTGGTAGAAATGGAAATCACACAGTGCATATATATAGCGACCGGGAGTGGCAATTGCTGCGCGTATAGAGTACAATATTAGTCTAAAAAAAGGTCGGACAGCTTAGACAAGTAGGGCACGGATGCACGATGGATGGATGAGAATGTGTATGTATTGGATTAAGTGTAAGTGGTCATGTCGCTTGCCTTTACTAAAGTAGTAATGAATATTATCGATAAAATGCTCCATCTAAAAGTTTTGAATTGTGCAACAGAACCAGATTCTTGAGCCATGCTCACTGAACGAAAGGTACCAACATCAGATGTGAAGAATAATCTATAATTAGTATACACTGACTAGTATTTAAATTGTTTCAAGGTACCAACATCAGATGTGAAGAATAATCTATAATTAGCTTTGTGTCTGAGGCTATTATATAATTTACTGGATGTGTGTTTGTTGATAATTGCTATTTGTTCTTGTGAAAAAAAATCTAACTCTCCCCCCAATAAGTATTTTTGTTCATTCTTTTGTTTTTACTCATTGCTGTTAGCAACATGGTGGGAGTGTCCTCTGTCTTCCATTCTTTTGTCCACCACGCTAAAATGCTGATATACAACCTAAGAAATGGCCTACACAAATAATATGATCTAACGCCATCATTAAGGGCATCCGCAACATTACAATAAAACATTCTCTACGGAAAGAAAGATAGATGTTACCGGTCAAGAAACTTTAGCATATGTTCTCTACAAAAATAGAAGGAAACATACATGATCATGTGAAAAGAGATGGTGAGAGGGACCATGTTAAAATTGCTCTTGAACGTAGGATATATTTTGTATGGAATTTTATCCTTTAGCTCATCACTATAGTAATCAGATTGATTGGTAACTTTATGTATACTTCATCTTCTATTATGTCTGCTAATCCACCCTAGAATTTGCCACGTTAAAGTGGTGCACGAGGGTGATTTTTGTTCCAGTTCTACCCCTGCCCATTGTCCGGGAGAATGGTAGTTTTTACAGGAAACACCACCGGCTTGTCCACAATACAGCGAAGGATTGAGCCAACTCTGAAATCCTTTTATTTTTATTGTTATACAGTTATACATGCAATCATCCAAACCATCAAACACACCACTAAGCACTTTTATTCATGTTACTCATAGCTATCTTTCATGCATCCACGTATCATATTTATTTCGAAGTATCATATCTTACAAAAATAATTAAGAATACATTAATGTAAACCCAAACATATGAGAATAAAAACGGATAGAGGTAGCAACCTACAATGGCAAGCTGATGACATGACCACAACCAAAACAAACAAGATAAATATAGCCTTATTGGACAACCAGTCCATGCAGAAACTAATCCCCAATTGACATTCTGTCGGTTGGATCTGCATGCATCTCAATTCGACCCAACATTCTTACCCGCACTCGATAGTACATCCTCGAGCAGACTCTCGAGGTTGGCCAATGACCTTCCACCGGGCTTTGCGGTTGCACGAACGGTGATCTCACTCCACTCCACCGCCTCCCGCCTCATCTCCCTCCCTACCTCTCCTACTCCCATCACCTCTCGTATCCTCGCCTTGACCACCTCCCGGCGCACGTCGTCATCGACCTCCATCCGAACGCCCCACTCCACGCACGCATAGCCGGAATTGGTTTGCTGCTCCGCGAAGAAGGGCCAACACAACATTGGCACCCCTGCATAGAGCCCCTCCATCATCGAGTTCCACCCGCAATGCGTAAGGAAGGCACCCACCGCCTCATGATGCAGCACCGACTCCTGTTCGCACCAGCTCGCCAGTAGGCACCTTCCCTTGGTCGCCTCTAGGAACTCGGGAGGCAGCACAGCGACATCACCCTTTACGAGGTCATTCCTCACGATCCACAGGAAGTCATAGCCGCAGTTAGCCAGCCCCCATGCGAACTCCACGAGCTCTTGGTTGGACATAGTGGTGATGCTACCAAAGTTGACGTACACCACAGACCGAGGCTCCCTGCCTTGGAGCCACTCGAGGCAGGACCGATCTTCTCTCCAGAGGTTGGGGCATATTCCGGTGAGCGTGTCACTGTCATCGTTGTTAGGGACCAGCTGCTCGCTGAGGAAGTTAAGCGGGCCGATGGTGTAAATGGGCATAGGGAGGATGGAACACATGGCGTCCAGAGCCTTCTGCTCGAGCTCATCAAAGGTGTTAACAATAATGGCGGTCGCGCGGCCCGACTGCTCTAGCTGGTGTATCATGAAGTTGAGGAGGACATCACTGCGGTCCGTGGTGCGAATGAAGGACGGGAAGTCTTGGAGGCGCATGTGCTTGCTCATCCCGAGAGCATGTGTTACCGGTGTGTCCATATACCCGTTCGTCACTTGGTCTTTATCTGCTCAAATTAACCCAACAGCAAGCATCCAACCATGGCTGTTAGTTGTTACAGACTGTTAACCCACTTCAAGAAGCCTGACATCAATGCATACATACCTTTGAGGGGAGTAAGGCCCTCATCTATGAGGAACCGGAAGTTGTGGTAGCCCATGTAACCACAAGCACTGGCAGTCCAAAACAGCGCGCACGGCACACCGAGCTCCACAGCAGCGTCCACACAAAAGTTCATGCTGCTGTCCGCCACGATGCACGTCACCTGCGGTGCCCCAACTTTGCTCTTGAGATCTTGAAGTAGGTTCTTGAGGTGGGGGAGGCATGTGGCCATGGTAGAGTAGCAAATGGACGCCGGGTCCTGTGTGGTGTCGGTGTCGGACGGGGGCAGGCCGTCAAGAATGGTGGCAAAGCGGAAGCCCGGGAGTCCGGCTACGGCTTCGGGACCATGGGAGCGGACGAGGCGGCGTTGGTTGTACTCAGTGTTGACGAAGGTGACGTGGAAGCCCCTGCAGTGAAGGACCTTGGCCAGCTTCATCATCGGCGTGATGTGGCCCTGGGCCGGGAATGGCACGCACACCGCGTGGGGCTTCTCAGAGGGTGGAGTAGCGCCTAGAAAGGTAGACACGGAAATCTAGATTGATACCGTGCTTTCTGTAGGAGAAAGTGCGACCTTCACTGCTTGTAATGGCAATCACACGGCACACAGTCCATATAGCTGCACAGATATATATATATATATATATATATATATACAATATTTGTCCCAAATGACCAGCAGTTCTGCATAAACGATAGGTGAGAATATGCGTGGTTTGGTAACTTTGGTTAAGTGGCCAGTAGTCATCTCTCAGCTTGTCATGTTCCTATGACTTTATTAAAGTAGTGAATATTATCGATAAAATGCTCAGCTAGATGTTGTGCAACAGAACTAGATTCTTCCTCCATATGCTCCTTGAGCAGAAGGTGCCTCTGAGCATAAACTTGTTTCGAGGTACAAACCTCAAATATGGAGAATGACCTATAATTTGTTCACTTTGTTACTGACACTATAATAGGCGTGTCGGGTGATGATTGCACGTTGAGTTTGTGAACAGGAAAAATAAAGTCTCCCACAATCAATATTTTGGTTCTTTTTTTCTTACTCCTTGGTGTTACCAACATACTCCCTCCGGATGGGAATATAAGTCGGGCGCCGGTTTTTTGATATTTGATTTGACTAGCGAAACATGTGTTATATGCTATAAAAATTATACCTCTAGATTCAATGTCGAATGAAATTTCTAAAAATATATGTTCGTGACATATTATCCATGGTTCGCTAGTTAAATTGGTGATCTAAATTCTCGTGCCCAACTTATATTATTCCCATCCGGCGGAGTAGTGTGGTCCATTCTCTCATTCTGGTATCCACCACGCTAATGCTGATATGACAACCTCTAAGAAATGGTCCACATATTATATATTTGCTCTAATTCCATCATCAAGGGCATCCACTTCATTACCAAAACCATTCTCAAACAAAGAAATATACTATAGGGATAATTATCCTTTTGCCCTTAGTGGTGTCCATGTGCTCAGTTTTGCCCTCAGATGTGAATCGTGCTCAGTTTTGTCCCTAGTCCGTGCGCACCAACTCGTTCCGTGAACTCTGCCGTCTCCGTCAGGTCAACCTTTTGACTCGGCCCTTACAGGTGGGACTAAGCGGCAGAGACGCCCTAGACGATCAGACCGTTGCACGCATGGCTTGTGGGACTCAGAAGAGAGCCGTTGAGCAGAGAGCCGTTGCGGGTGTGCTATATAAGCGGGCGACAGACAGCGGCGGTGACCACGGCGACAGAGAGCACGTCGGTGACCACAGCGAGCGAGCGAGCG